CAGGCAAGTGGGTCCGAAAAATGCAAGCCAAGATTTGTGAGATTTGGTGTAGCCCGGGGCTGTGGAGGGACCGCAGTGCTCTGGTATGGACACCGCTCTACTGCAGGTCAACTTGGTAGACAAGGCTTTATCCTGTTTATCTGCTCCTTCTCTGAATCCTGGGAGCAAGGTATTGATGAGCTCGAGTTTGAATGCCATCCAAGATTTTGTCTTCTGGCTTGAAACACGGTCAGAAGAAATCTATGTTGAAATCAAGAACTAAGGCCTGCTCTCCCTCTGCTGCAAATTGCCTCCTGCCGTGAGTGCAGGCATGCAGTGGAGAGATGGGGGTGGCAGGATGTGTGTTTGGGGCAGAGGTGTGAAGGCAGAGGGAGGTTGGTATTATGGAAAGGCAGACACATCTGGCCGGCTCAGTGCAGCATGCATTCACATCATCTACTTTGTTCTTACTCAGGTGCTAGACAGAAGCAAAGCAGGGGGAGAGGCAATGGGAGGCTGAGTGTGTGTGTGGCGGAGGGGCGGGGGGGGGGGAGTGTTGCTTCAAAAAATGGAGTCTTTGCAGGAAGAGAGGGTTGGAGGCAGCCACACCATCCAGCGAAAAGCAAACAAGTTGAAAGGACGGTTTTCCTCTGGCCTAGCATTTCTAGGACATCCCTGCCTCTTCCTGGCAAGACTTCATTTGCAACACAGCACAGCCTGCAAGGGAAAACAAAGCCAGAGGCCTCTTGAGATTTGCCTCTCCGGACACTGGGACAATTTGTGCCTCTACTTATTCAGTCAACCGTGGGGCTTCTGAAGCCCTGGTCTTACCTGATGCTTGTTTGGCTTGTTCTTGGTGCTCACGGTCCTCTGGCAGGCAGCTGGAGTCTCGCTGGAGGCTGAAGAATGAAGCAGGAACCAATAAAAAGGACACGCAGATGAAGACGGCATGTGTTGCTGCAGACAGGCTCTAGGGAGCAAAGCTCAAGAGGTCTCAGTCATACAGTTGGGCACCTGTTTGAGCAGCTTCTGGATGATGCTTCGGAGGTATTCAAAACATTCCCACTCTGTGAAGCAGTCCAGTCTGCGTGGCTGACAGGCATGCTTGCATTCGAGAGAACTCACCTAGCTGCTGTCCAAATGGTCACAATCATGAAAACATTTGCTTACGGGGTGGCCTCCGAGAGTGCAGCCTACAATGCCAGGGTGGGGACACAAGTGGCTCTGGACCTGCTTGTCATGAGGTCAAGGACACCCACTGCAGGCTCCTTTCTGACTCTCACAGTCCAGGACTCAGGATCTTGTGCGCTCACATGGCTGACGCTCTCACAGCCCACTTGACCCTATCACAGTCTTTTCAAGCACTCCCGTTTCACCACCTCCTGGTCTTGGCTCCCTCATGAGCGTTCCCTGTCTGTGTGTGTTCAGCCACCAGCCAGTCCTAAGAGTTCTCACCAAAGGAGGCTCCTCCTAATCCCTTCACTTGAGATTACTCTCCATAGTGCTCATGGAGGATGGTGATTGTGGCTCTTCAAAACTGTTCCCCAGAAAACAAACATGTGGTTTTCCCTTTTCCTCTCCGGTGGTCACGTTGGTGGCTTCCCGTTCCCCTCCGGGCCACCCAGGAGCGCAGGTGTCTAATTAAACCTGGATATCTTTTAGTCTGGTCTGATTTGGCTTGATTGGGATTATTTTGTGTTGGCGGAGTAGCACGGTTAGGAAATAGTTCTAACAGACAGGGCAGCAAGGCCAGCATACTCTACTGAGATTGGTGTCAGCTTGATCAGAAACCGCTGGAAGCCAGTGGGCTCTGGTATCATGTGCGACAGTTAACTTGCTATGGGGAAGGGGACCTGGGAACTTTATTTTGTTGTGTTGATTCTGAGATGAAACAAAACAAAACAAAACAGGCAATTTCAACTCAGGAGTCTGCTCTCTGTGAAGGGAATCTGCAGACCAGGCAAGACAAGCTCTTTAAGACTCTTTAAGAACAGCCATGATGGCCCTTCCCTGGCCCTGACCCTGGCCCATACTTGCTCCTTGATCTGACGGCCATCAGTTAATTCCCTCCCAGTCAAGGCTGTGCAGCGTTTACACAGCACAAGGACTCCAAGACCTGAGGACAAGTAGGTGTGGAACCCAGAGTGCCCTCTACTTTCTGAGTGGTGTCCCTAGCTTTGAGACACTCATCCAGAAGATACGGCTGCAGTACCTGGAGCAAACGTTCCAACTACTCAATCTATAATTTCAAAGTTCTAAAAGGAGCTGGAGACGATTGTTAAAATGTGTTCTATCTCCCATCTTTACAAAGGCATATCGTAGTGGTCTGAAAACCCAAGTTCTAATTTCAAATTCTCAAATTCCTGGAATTTTGCCCACCCCTCCCCCGAACATGGTAGTGCAAGAGGCGTATGTCTCTGGCCCATTCCCTTTCTCTTTTCTCCCCCTTCAATATCCGTGTCTGCAAGGAGCCTCATGTCCCCCCACAAAGACACATCTGGACATACTGTCCAAAGTCCAATTATTTTCCAAATCCCTTGAGCAGAGCTACCCATTTGCCTGTTTGCCCTCCCCCTAACCGAGTACACCCCACATTCATGAAGACAGACCTGAGGAAAGGCCCGGGCATGTCCTGGAAGCCACACATCTGTGTTTCACCAAGGAATTCAGGAGCCCTCTGTACACAGAGGAAGGTCCAGAATACAAACCACAGGACTTGTTGGTTCCTTCTGACTCATGGAGACAGACACGGTTCTGGAAAGGGTGGGACTGCTGCACGGGCACCCATCTTAGGGGCTGAACTCCACTGAGTGGTTGTGGATCAGCAAATGGGGGCCTTTTGAAGCCTGCCCTTCCTTGTGTACCCAAGGCCAGATGATGACATTCAGAGGGTTGGCCATTCCCCTGCCGGCTCTTGGTTGGCGGGTGCCTTGTCTGGTCACTACTGCTAGCAACTCACACTGCCCTTCAAGGCCTGCATATTAGCAAGGCGCTTTTATCATTTTTTTTATTTTATCATTGTATTACGGTCAGCGTAAGTGACACTGGACTTGGTCACAACTCCCCAGACCACACAGTTCCCATCTATAAAATAAGAGCACGTATAGAGATGGGAAGGAACCCTGAGTGACTGAAGTCTTGAGAGAATGTGTGTTGTTGACACAGGCACAGTCATGTTGAGGACCGTACTGCCTCAGACTCAGAGGGACTGCATAGCCTTCGCGGGGGAACCAACGTGAGCATTGACAGTATATGCAAAAAAATGTCTCCAGATACTCATGACTTGAAGGCTGCTCCCCTGCAGAGGTTGTCCTACTAAGATTAGCTAGACCCGCCTCCCTGAGGCAGCTGTACACTGTAAATACTACCTTCTCTTTTAGCCATGTGCAGTAACCGTGCTTCTCTGTTCAGCTCTGTACAATACCCCCCCCCCCCGGGCTGTTGAGGGGCTTTGATTCCCCCAACAGAGAGCCCAGACCACCAGAACTCCTCTTTCTGTCACTGTGCCCGTCTCTGGGTCCATTCTTCATTCCCTTGTCACCCCAGCCAGGTCTGTTTCTGAAGCTGTGCTGGGTGTGGTGAGTGTGAGCCGAATTGTTTCCAGAGTCAGGGAAGCCAGTGATGTGTAGCTCCCAAGAGTCTTGCTTTTCCTTGTCGGCCACAGGTTCCCAACCATGAATGTTAAAATCACCTAAGAATTTTTAAAAAGCGCCAGCACCTTGGCCCTCCTTGAAGAGAACCCACTCAGTTCTGGGGTACTGCAGATAATATCTCTGGGTGATTGTCATACACAATCGGGGCTGGGAACCACTGTTGGAAAGCCCCCTCCTCCTATGGTTCATAGCAGAGCAGGACAGATGCCCGACCTAGACACACAACAGCTGTAGGCCAGGCTAGACACCCAGGTCCCCAGTGGAAGGTGGGGGTGAGGGGGTCCTGTGCCTACTCTCCAGGAAGACAGGAATAAACAAAGTCAATTTCCTGGCCTCCCAGCCCCTCACCTCCTCATCCAATTTCCCAAGCTCCAGCTGAAGGCCCAAGGGGGCGGAGGTGGGGCAGGCAGCTGTGTAATCTAGGTGGATTTTCTCAGGGGTGGGGGAGGCTGATTTTGGCTCCAGTCTTCCTCTTTCCTCACAGCTGGAGCTGGAACAGCATGAGCAAGTGGGGCTGGGAGCCCAGCTGTTGGCAGTTGTTTCCATGTTATCTCTCTCGTGACAGCTGCAAATCTATTGTGGGGTGTGTGTGTGTCCATCCAAGTGTGAGAGTGTATCCCAGCCAAAAAAAAAAAAAAAAAAAAAAAAGATGAGGAGGTAGAAGACAGAGAGCATGAGGTTCCCTTTCCGAACCTCCACTTCCTCCAGACCACGTGACCGCTCTTCCTTGGAAAGAGCACCCAGTGAGCACCCTGCATTATTCGCCCTCATTGAGATTCCAGGCTGGAAGCAGCTTCAACACTTACAATAGCTCCCCTGGGCTTAGTGCATACTGTGTCCTCAGGTGGTCTCCTAAGGCTGGAGGTTGTATTTAACCCTCAGAACAGCTCCAGCACGGCGGCACTATCAGCGTTCCCTTCTTGTGCGCGAGGAACAGAGTCAATATTTAATAACACGAGGTTACATAGCTCCAAAGATTCTGATGCAGTCCATCTTCAGTTCTGCCCCTGTTCTGTTCTGCCTCCTGGCAGTGCTTGATAAAGAACCACATCAGATGAGTGAGGTCTCCTTTGGCTCTGATACTCCCACGGTGGTATTGCTGGAATTTGTTGTCTATATCGGAACTCTTCTTGGATAGCACCGACTGCACTTCTGAAACGCAGGGTTAGAAGCGCCTATCTTTGTCCCCCAGGGAGTTGTTTCTGAAGCACCAGAGGAACATGACCTGACCTGAGAGTTATCCAGGGCAGCACTGTGGGACTGAGCTCTAAAGATAACAGCACTGTGCACAACGATAAAACAGAGCCTCTGATGGTTTGGCAAAATTTGCGGGACTGTCTTGCCCAAGTTTGCTCATCGGAAGCTTCTGTGCAAGGGGCACTTTACCCAGGAGTTTGCTAGATTGTGTTGGATGTCCACATGCCACTGGTCTCAGGGATGACTCACGGCAGCACTTCCAAGATGGCAGGTAGGAACCTGAGTGCAGCTTGTCACCCAGGCCTCTGAAGCTTTCTGGTGTTGGGTGTTTTCTGCCATGCTTATAGCCTAGGGCATAGATGGGTGCTGGGATGGGGTCCTCTACTGAGAGGGGGGTGATAATGAGCAGCCAAGGGCTTCCCCTCAGCTGCCCTTGTCCTAAGGAAGGAGGTATCAATCAAGTGAAATCCCAGACCTCCCCAGCCTCATTTTATACTGAAATAGCCTTTTACATTTTCTTGTCTCTCTTTAATCAGGCTTGAGTCTGTCTGCTTATTCCCCAGCAGTGTGGACAAACCCTTCTCTTCCCTCAGCAAGCTCTGCATTCCCACTCATCCACACAATGACACAGGATTTCTTTTCAGAGGTAAAGTTCAATCCTGCTCTATGGAAGGGACTTCCCCTGATGTATCAAAGTTTGCTGCTCATGAGATGTCCATTGAACTAGAGACTCTAGCTCACTTGTCTGTCATAGGCCCAGGATTTTCCACTTTTAACCAGCTTCCTGGTGATGCCGATGCTGCTGGTCCCCAGGTCACACTTGGAGGTGCACAAGCGTCAGGTGCCTATGCAACACAGCCAATTGACCTGAAGCCTGAAAACACAGAGCAGTTCCGGGCTGCATGTGTGCTGTGAGCATGTCAAGTGGCCCTGAAAGGAGCCTTCAGCAGCCATAGCTAGTTTCTCATTCCTGGGAGCCTACCCCCAGTCCCTGTGTACCCCAAGCTACAACTCTCCTCCCACGTCTGCTCAAGTGCATCTTGTCCTGAATCCCTGAGCCATATCTGCTAGGAAATCTGGGCAGGTTGAAGAAGCCTCCTCCTCTTTCTGATACAAGACAGCCTAGTCCCTTCCTCACCTGCCATCACCTGTGTTTGGGGTACCCCAGCATGTGCTGCCATTCAGACACACACACCCCAATGAGGTGTTGTCACCTCTGATGCCACATGGTTAAGTCTTTCCCAGGTGGCTCCCTGTTTGGGCCTGAAGGTTGAGTTTGACCTCCAAGAGAGGATGTGAACTTCAGGGAAAGGAATGTGGATTAGGAAGCGGTCCTGCTTAGGGAGAATTAAGGTCGTTTATGAACCTATCACAGTGAATCTGATTCCCTTATCAATAATGATGGACTATAGGTGGAAGCTGCTTGTTTGTTTGTATTCCCATGCCACCTCAGTGAGCCATACAAAAATTATCACTTTTGATTTCTAAACCCACTGGCATTATCACAAGTTTTGACCTAACATTGCAGTCCACAGAAGCCAACATCAGTGTACTCATGGGCACCTCCAGGCGTGTGGTGGTGTGAATGGGAATGGCTCCCATGGGCTCAGGTATTTGAATGCTTGATCACAAGGGCCTGCAGATCAAGACGTCGCTCTCAACTGCTGCTCCGGTGCTGTGTGTGGGGGCTGCCATTTCTGAGCTGGTGTCTTGGTTCCATAAGAAAGTGGACTGAACAAGTTGTGGTGGTTTGAATAGGAATGGCTCCAAATGTGAATGCTTGGTTGTTAGGGAGTGGTGCTATGAGAGAGAGAGAGAGATTAGGAGGTGTGGCCTTGTTGGAGTGGGTGTGGTCTTGTTGGAGTGGGTGTGGCCTTGTTGGAGTGGGTGTGGTCTTGTTGGAGTGGGTGTGGCAAGCCGGGTCCAGTGTCTCTTGCTGTCTCTTCTTGCTGTCTCTTCTTGCTGCACGTAGATCCGGATGTAGAACTCTCAGCTCCTCCAGCACCATATCTGACCGAGTGCCACCGTGCTTTCTGCCGTGATAATAATGAACTAACCCTCTGAATGTAGGACAGCCCCAGCTAAATGCTTTCTTTTAAAAGAGTGGCAGTGGTCATGGTGTCTCTTCACAGCTATAGAACACCGACTGAAACACAAGCCATGGGAAGCAAGCCAGTAAGCAGCTCCCCTCTGTGGCCTCTGCGTCAGCTTCTGGCTCCAGGTTCCTCCTCTGCTTGAGCTCCTGTCCTGACTCCTTTTGATAAAGAACTGTGATGTGAAACCATAAGCTGAACAGACCCTTTCCTTCCCATCTTGCTTTGGTCATGGTATTTATCATAGCAAAAGGAACCCTAACTGAGACAAGTGAAAATTGAGTTTGATCATGATGTCTCAAGTGTGACCTCTGGGAAATGATTAGATTAGATTAAGTTCTTAGGTAGGGCAGCCATGGTTGAATCCTAGTGGCTTCATATGATATGCTAGAAATAGATACAGATACAGATGTGTGCTCCAGACTCCTGTTGTGTGACACACTGTGTGCCTTGGGGCTCTGCCAGCACCAACGCCAAGGACCAGAGGCAAAAGCAATAGGGCCCAGTTGATATTAATGTAGCCTGGAGTTCCTTCCCTGCACTGTGCCAAGCTGTTTTGACTTTCAGCCTCCAAACATATATGCTAAAGAAACCTCTTCTCATAAAGTGATTGCCACAGGCACTTTGTTATAGCAATGAAACCTAACTAATAACAAATCTTTCATCTGTCCCGGTATAATCAGGATCCATGTAAACATTCAAGTTAGAATAGGAGAATCACATATAAATCAGCTACCAGACCTTGTTTGTCTTTTTATGTAAAGTTTTCATGAAACAATGTTGAGATTTTGTCACTCAGCTTGACAGATTTTAAGAATTTTAGACTTGTATTATCATCACTGAAAATGAAGTATGGACATATCTATCTTTAGAGAAATCTCTCCCAACTTCTTAGCAGTCAGAACACCCTCTGCCCATCTCATGCACTCATGCCCACTGTCTCATATTAAATATTATGCACTATTTTTTCTGTATATGGATACAGTTAATGGAACCCTACTGTTTTTACAATTTTGAGCCTATTACCATGTGCATAGGGTGTTCCCTTTTACTTTATAGTAGTGTTCTATTGTGCGGTTATTTATCCAGGCCTTTGCCTGCGGAGAATCACATTGTTTCCAGTCAGCTCTTTGAATAAGGCTGCTATAAACATTCTTTATACTTTTATTGGGAACATGCTTTTCTTGTATAAATCTTTAGTATTCTATTTTCTTGTGTAAATACATAAAGGTGGGACCACTTAATCCCGGGGTAGGTGCATACATAACTCCACCAGGAACTGTCCAAGAGTTCTCCAAAATGCTTCTAGCACGGTGGTTCTCAAGAAGAGAGATGGGACATGACAAAGATAGATACAGATACAGATGTGTGCTCAGACTCCTGCTGTGTGACACACTGTGTACCTCGGGACTCTGTCAGCATGAACGCCAAGGACCAGAGGCAAAAGCAAAAGGGCCTACTTTATATTAATGTGGCCTGGGGGTTCCTTCCCCACCCCTTCCTAATGCTTCACCCCTTTAATACAGTTCCTTGTGACCCCAACCATAAAGCTATTTTAGTTGCTGCTTCATAACTGTAATTTTGCTACTGTAATGAATCATAATATCTGTGTTTTATAATGACTTCAGGCCACCCCTATGAAAGGGGAAAGGGTGATTTGATCACCAAAGGGGTCTCGAACCACTGGTTGAGAACCATCATTTTCCAAAACCTCTCTGGCGGACAGTGATTGGGCTGTGGTTTCTCGGGTCCCCACCACCACTTTGACATGGTCAGCCGCTGTGATGCTGACCACTCTTGGAGTGTGGGGTAATGGCTGCAGTTTTACTTTGTGTTTCCATGTCAATGAATGTTGTTTTATTTCCTCCTGGGCTTGTCTATAAAGTGCCGATTCCAGTCTTTGGTCCATGTTCTCCTGCATCATTTTCTCTGAAGCTTCCGTTTGTTGGACAGTGTTGTCAGTTCTAAAACCTGAAGAAAATGTTTCCCCCTCAGTCTGCTGGTTTGCATCCTATGACACCTACGCTAGCTCAGGTGTCCTTTGTCTCAACAAAGCTGTACCTGGAGGATTCTGACTACCCTCTTTGACACTAGCCCCCTTGTATAGTTTATCTTTGAGACAGGCAAAACCACCTCTATATGCCAACCCATGTCACTCCTCTGTTCCCCATGACCTCAGGAACCCATCAGCATCTCAGATGATGGTAGGTCCTGACATCCAGAGTCAGCTCCTTTCTCCGCACTCCAGGTATCCTCATCTGCAGACTACTAGAGTCAAGCCCTTGCCATCAACACTGGCTTGTCCCTTCTCACTGCCCGTTCTTGGCTGAACTCTCACACCACTTGCAGTGACAGCCCCATTCTCTCCCTCTGGCAGGCAGTGGTGCATACTTGTAATCCCAGCATCAGGGAGGCTAAGGCAAGAGGGTTGCAAGTCCAATGATGCTGGGATGTAAATAGTTAAGACCAGGTTGAAAACAAAACAGTGTGATCAAACTTTCTTCTAATAGGACTTCTAGGGAGTCTTCTGTAACTGCCCCCACAACTGAGCCAGCCCTGCCTCCTGTTGTCCCTTAACACTGGGGCATCCTTCTACCCGCAAGTCCTCACAGACATCCTCAGCTGCTGTCTTTCTCTCAGCTCCCGAGTGCCAAGTTCTTCATCTCAGAATTGAAATTTCTACCCGCGGCAGGAGCTGGAGCCTGCCCACTGAATGAGCCACTTATGGCTGAAACTGCCATTCCCAGTTCTACCATTAAAGAGTATGTGGGAGAGGGGGCAAGCAAGAGGGAATGAGAGGAACGGGCAGGATCCTGACTCCAACCCCAGAGACCCTTCTGCTGGGGCAACCCTAAAGAGCTGTGCTTGAGACCTTAACTGCTCCGAAGGGGCCCCACAATCCATGGGGGGATGGCAGGAGGGGCCAAGTGAGTGGAGTGCTCTGCTCCACCTTTACCTTCCCCTTTAGCTGAGCAGGGGGGTGGGGGGCACTTCCTGCTTGGGAGGGGTTAGTGCCCCTGGGGTCAGAGGAGGCACCTCCCACCTCAGACAACTTTCAGGCTCACGAAAGAGTCTGTTTGCGTAACTAGCCTCTCGTTCCAGAGACCCCAGGAGGAGTCTGGTATTAATCTGCCCACTGTGGTGCAGGCCCTGCTCCTTCACATCTAGGCCTGTTTGACTGGGCTGCCAGGTGTGGGTGTCTGCAGTTCATTAACCGGCAGCAGCCAGGGGAGAGAATCCAGGACTCTGGGCAGAGTGCAGCCTGGAGGATCAACCCCCTAGCTCGCTCTCATGCTGGCTCCTCTCCACAGCCAATTTGTCTGGTGGCTTCCCGTGCCCATCTTAATTTCCTCCAGGGGCAGGAACTTACCACCTCAGGGTGCTCCTTCTGACCCACCTTTAGGACGCTCTGACAAGAGGAAAACACTCAGCGTTTTTTTTGTTGTTTGTTTGTTTTGTTTTTAGGTTTTGTTTGCAATTTAAAAAAATTTTTGTATTAGTGTCTACTAATTGTGCAAAATAACAGAGAAGTGTGAACTTTGCATAGCCACCTGCCTCAGGACTCCCTTCCAGCACCCAGGCCATGGTCTAGCCTCTGAGTCACAGAGAGCAAACACAGATCCTCGCCATGACAGTCCTCAGGTATGTGACATCAACTCTCCTGCTCCCCAAGCCTTTTCTTCTCAGGTCAAAGGTCCTCGGCTCCTACTCATCTTGCCCATGTCATGGTTGTGGGTTCCCTCAGCAACCGCCTCCCGGTTGCCATGTCTGTCCTCTGTAAACTGTTCCCGGCCCCAGGGATTCAGACGCTGGACATTCGCTTCAGCCTCCTGAGAAGAGGCCTCGCACTGAATCCACTTTGTACGGTTTTGTTTCCATTTAGTCGGCCATGCTCTTGACAAATAGACCCTGGCTACCAGCTTGCTCAGCTGTGGTCTCAGCAGGAAGGACCAGGGTTTTTTTTGTTGTTTTTTTTTGTTTTCCAAGCACACTCCGAAGTCCTTTGGGATGGTGGATGCTAAGGCCGTGTGAGTGAAGGGGACTGAATGAAGAGGGTGGGTTATGCCCTCAGAGAATGTCCTTTAAGGCCCCAGCCATCACTGTGCCAGGGACCATTCTGCAGGTGGTAGAGGCTCAGAGGGAGGGGACTGCCAGTAAAGGCATCTACAGCATTGGGCTATCTTCTGCCCTAGAAACGAACTTCTGCTGTCTCCCAGCACAGGAGCCAGCTTGTCCCCATCTGTCTTCATACATGTCTCAAATAAGGGTTGAAATCAGTTAGGAGGCCCCCATGCTTAGATGTAGGGTTCCCGTGTATGTTACTATGTTCAAGGCACCCCCTTCCTTAGGAGATCTGTAGCCCACGTGAGGCAGTTGCCTACACCTCGGCCCCAGACCCACCTCGGTTCTCTTTAAGATGAGCTACCAATCCAAGCAGGAGCAATATGAGCAGGCCTCACAAGCCCTGAGAACAGGGGTATGTGACAGACTGTCCCTGTCCACGAGCCAAGCTTCCCAGACGGTCATCTGCCCTGATTTGGCTGTGTCCTGCTGTGATAAAACGCTGTGACCAAGAGCCACTTGTGCGGGCTACGGGAGGGTTTATTTCAGCTTTTAGCTTTAGCCCATCATGAAAGGAAGTCAGGGCACGGTATCAAGGCAGGAACCTGGAGACAGGAACTGACGCAAAAGCCATGGAGGGATGTTCTTACTGACTTGCTCAGCCTGCTTTCTTATACAACCCTGAACCAGCCGCTCTGAGGTAGCACCACCCGCTGTAGGTAGGTGCTCCCATTTCAATCATTAATTGAGAAAATGCCCTTCAAACTCTCCTACAAGCCAGAATAGAGATTCCTTTTCCCAGATAAACTCTAGTTTATGTCAAGTTGAGTAAAAACAAACCAAGACTCTAGCACTTACCTTGGTGACCTTTGACACATCTCTCTGGAACCCAGGTCCCAGGTTCACAATTATCCCTTACGCTTTTGAAGTGATGCCCAGAAAGTTGACTTGGGTCCTTAGGTTCCCAGAAGCACAGCGCTCTGTAGAAGGAAGGGAGACTTATTGCCAAGGTTCCAAAATCAAAAGTTCTTTTCTGTGTACTTTCTTTTCACCCTTAACCTTTGTGACCGAGTAATGATTGATCCACTGCAGCCCGGGGAACAAAACGTCACGTGCTGGAGTGTTTGTCTCTGACAACCTGCCTTTTCTTCCTTCCTCTGTCCTTCCCTTCTCTCCTCTGCCCATCCCCCGTCTTCTTCCTTCCTTCATTTTATCCACATCACTGGGGAAAGTTGTTGGAGCTCAGGAAAGCATCTACAGGAGCCTAATTCAAACATGCCTTCGATGCTAAGACGAAACTATAGTCTTTTCTCCCAGTAGAAAGTGAGTTGCCTTGTTTCTCACATCAGTTCAGGCAGGGGATGTAGAAGCCTGGGCCCACCAGGGTCATTCATCAGAGAAGGATGCCCTTTATGATATTCAGGTTGCATTTGTCTGAGGTTCCCACACATAGCTACGGAATCCAGGAGATTAACTGTGAAAAATGACCTATTTTAACAGGTGCACACTTGTGTGTAAGTGGGAATTAGCCGAGCGTGGAATTATTTTACCATGGAAATAAGTGTGGGCACTGAAAAGCATCACTCTTCTGACCACACAGGAATCAGACAGAGGGTCAACACGGGGGGAGTTCCCTGGGACTCGGAGCGGATGTGTTGGTTGGATTTTTCCAGAGGAAGCTGCGGTACCACAAGGAAATAAACCATAATGCCTACAAAACCTGACTGTTCACGTTCCAACTCCCTCTTCAAAGCAGGTCCCCGCTCTCCAAGGAGCAGGGACTGAAACTTCCCTACCTCCATTTAGAAAAGATACTTGCAAGCACACCAGATCCCAGCGGGCAAAGCAAACCCACATCTCACAGTGTCTTTATGAGGTGCCCCAGTCCACAGGAAACAGGACTGCCTATGTCACCTTAACAACCACGGGAAACCTGAAGCAGAACAAGAAGCCAAAAGCCTTGGGCCACATCCCTGGCTGTCCCCTGCCTCGACCTACATGGTCCCTGGGTCTGACCCTGCTGTCAAAGTAGCCTGCTTGCATCTCACAGGAGCTGAGTAGGGCAGTAACGAGGAGTTCCCGGTGCAAAATAAATTTCTAAAGTGTGGTGACTGGTCTTTTCTGTGACTTAACTTTCATGGGAATCTGCTCAATGAGGATTTGAATTTGGCAATCAGTAGAGTACTTTCAGAGAAATGCATTTCCTTAAAGGGAGAACTCAACCCTTCCTCCTTGAGAGGGCACACTGATACCTTTTAGGAGAACGCTCCAAAATAGCCCTGAAGGTATGAGTTCCCAGCCTGCTCATCAGGGTTGTTCTGCTGGAGATGCCTTAAGGAGATGTTGGCTCCAAAGCACATTAGCTGTGTGATCCCATGAAGATAGATCACCAGGCTTGTCTAAGGTTTTTAAAAGGAAGAGGATGTGACTGGGCGGTGGTGGTGCACACTTTTCATCCGGGCACTTGGAAGGCAGAGGCTGGCAGAACTCAGATCTCTGTGAGTTCAAGGCCAGCCTGGTCTAGAGCAAGTTCTGGGACAGTCAAGGCTACACAGAGAAACCCTGTCTTGAATAACAAAACAAAATAAAACAGAAAAGAAAAAAAAGAAGGAAGAGAATGTAACCTGTCTCTTGTGTCCCTTGGGGCTAGCTCTTTCTGTCTGGGTGTTTGCATATGTCACTTGTACTAGCATGCATAATTGTCCGACAGGGAGCATATGCTTGCTATGCCAAACCAACATCTTTTCTCCATGCATGCACACACTGGTCCCCCCTCACCCCTTCCTAGCTATAGGTAAGGTGAAAGCTAACCGAGTGTACACATGGACTCTGTTTGCTGAGAGAAAACTTTAAAAGGGTACAGCTGAGCAGTGTTTCCTGAGGGATAGTAATCGTGACAGTCCATCACCTGCTCTGCCACCGGTGTAAGGTACACGGAGTCATGGTTTAACTTTAACAACACCCCTGGTGAGAAGAGATAGTTTCATTGGGTAAATGGAGAAGCTGAGCTTCTTAGATGCTCTCTAATTCACCCAAGGACACCCAGCTAGTCGGCAGCAGGGATGACTTTGCCCTCTGCTCTGTGTCCTGTGGCATCTCCCCTCTCCCCAGCCCCTGGGCCATAGAGAACATGCACATAGAACACATGGTACAAAGAACAACGTCAGGCGCAGGAGGTCCAGTGTTCAGTCTTTCACAAAGGAAAAGAGAAAGGGGGCAGGGGAGGGAGGGAGGAAGGGAAAGAAGGAAAGAAGAAAGATCTCGGAGTCCAGGGCTTTCCACAGCTGTCTGGAGTCTGTAGTGCTTGTTTCCCAAATAATCTATTTTCTCACTCGCAGACCCACGGCTCTATCAATCCTCTTCTCAGCTGCTACACCACAAAAGCTCCTAGCTCCTCCTCCTGCTCCTCTTCCAGGCCAGCTACCCCATTCCCCAGGGTGTTTGCTGGACATAAACCAGCAGGAGTAGACGAGAGGCCTCCATAGTGGCAAAGCTCTCAGACTTCCCCAGTGAGGCAATCGATACTGAGTCCTGACTCTTCTGGCCACCCAGAGGGAGGGCCTGCCTGGGCAGAGCAGTGGGCTCCCATAGTCCCCCAAGAACCTTATTTATTATTGCCAAGACTCCCAGCCTGACCTGTCAGCCCGAGCCTGCCTGCAGCCTTGGGAGGTACTGGGGAGGGGAGAGTTTCAGGTCTGATGAAAGCCACCGAAACCAGCTCAGGGAGCTCATGAAAAGAACCAAGAAGAGAGTCTGTTTGACTGCTGGGTGGCAGACGTGACTGGACTTGTCTTCCTCCTGGGGTGATGGAGACAAAGACGGCGTCATCCCCAGGGGAGCACCGTGTCTCCACTATGGGTCCCCACACAGTCTCCTTGCCTGGAAGATATGACAGAGTCCCCACCAAAGTCCCCTGGAAGCAAGGCCACTTCTAACACCACACAGGAGTCCCCAGTGTGGACAAACAGAGAAAGGGGTAAGTGGAAAGGTGGCAACATCAATTCCTGTCTAGACTGGAGTTTTGGAATCCAGCCTTCCAGATGAAAGGGTACATTATGGAGACAGGCTATAAATCCCCCAGGTCAGCAAGACCACATTCTCCTAGGATTATTTACAGTTCTTTCCATCCTCTGACCATTGCCCGTCCTACCCCCATCTGCTTTCAACTTTCAACAGAGTCACCGATTGCATCATAACCTGTAAGTAGCCAATCACATCTGATTTCATTTTGAGAGACCACACACTAGGAGGACACGCTCCCTCCTGAGCCCCCGAAAAGCTTTAGGTCTTTACTCTGGACTCTAGAGACACCAAGAGTGTTAAGAAAGAGATGGAGAGGCTGAGCGGTGGTGGCGCACGCCTGTAATCCCAGCACTCGGGAGGCAGAGGCAGGCGGATCTCTGTGAGTTCGAGACCAGCCTGGTCTACAAGAGCTAGTTCCAGGACAGGCTCCAAAACCACAGAGAAACCTTGTCTCGAAAAAACCAAAAAAAAAAAAAAAAGAAAGAAAGAAAGAAAGAAAGAAAGAAAGAAAGAAAGAAAGAGATGGAGAGCCGGGCAATGGTGGCACATGCCTTTAATCCCAGCCCTTGGGAGGCAGAGGCAGACGGATCTCTGTGAGTTCGAGGACAGTCTGGTCTACAGAGCAAGTTTCAGACAGGCTCCAAAACTACACAGAGAAACCGTGTCTCGAGAAACAAACAAAAAGAAGATGGTAAGGCCACTTCATACATCAACACTTGGCAGGCAGAGTCACTAAGGGCGTGTTATTTTAACTCGGTCTACACTGCACCCTTGGACCCTGCCCATCACCAATGTGCAGTCAGTCAGTCAAGGATGTGAGAAGCTGCTGGAGCCAAATGACAAGGCCCCTTTCTGAACTGCCAGCCTGGGATCCTTGGTAACTGGAGCCCTCTACCTAGCCACCAGGGAAGGGAATAGATATCTTTTGGACCCCCTCTGCACATTAGGCTAGCTCTTCCCAATCCTCCCCTGTGTCTTCCCATACCAGATCCCACCATAACACTGCCCTTCTTGGCCCTCTCCAGGAATTGGCTGGAGCCTATGGCATTATTAAAGTTCATGCTCCCTTTTCTCTTCCAGATCTCTCTCAGATAGAAAAGCCGCTGGGTTCCTTTTCTGCTAATCTTTCTGCTTATATTAAAAAGTTTTGTTATCTGTCCCAAGCCTACCATCTAACCTGGCATGACTACTGTGTCATCCAAGCTTCTACTCTCACTCCTGAGGAGCAAAGTAGAATCCAGGCTGCAGCTAGGCAGTATGCAGACCAGACTCATCTGGTAGACAGTACGGTTCCTGTGGGGGAAGCAGCTGTGCCTGCTACAGAACCACACTGGGACGACCAACCTGGCCAAAGCGACCGACGGAGGCGGGAAATCAAGGTTCGTTGCCTCCTTCATGGTGTGGAAATGGTCTCACAAAAAGTAGTTAATTTTGACAAGCTTTGAGAGATTACATAGCTAGCAGACAAAAATCCAGCGACTTTTAAAAATTGGTTACAGGAGACCATGGTCCAATATACCAGGCCAGATCCAGCCTCGCCAGCAGGAGCCACTGTCTTGGCCACCCATTTTATTTCTCAGTCAGCACCAGACATTAGCAAAAAGTTAAGAAAGGCTGATGAGAGTCCCCAAACCCCTATACAGGAATTGGTGGAAATGGCTTTTAAGATTTTTAATGCCTGAGAAGAAGCAGCTGAGTCTTCTGACAGACAAAGCTACAACAGGCAGCTACCCTACAGGTCCAGGCCTTCGCATCTGCCCTAAGGCCACTGGAAGGGGGACAAGGGAAGCTAACCACAGGTCTCTAACATGGTGGAGCCCAGCCTAAGTTACGCTCACCAGCAGGCTGCTTCAAGTGTGGTCTAAATGGCCATATGGCACAATATTGCACGGAACCTCCTACGAGGCCATGCCCTATCTGCCAGCAACCTGGACACTGGAAATCACAATGCCCCCATGCATGCTCGTCCTCTATGCCACACCACGGAGGTCCGGCCTCACCAACATCGGCAAATGAGACTGTGCCAGCCTTCGAAGTTCTCAGCCTTGTGGAGGATTGATGCAGCCCAGACTTGGTGACTCCCACAGCCCTCTCCAAGCCCAGGGTAGCGCTGCAGGTAGCAGGTAAGTCCATTACTTTTCTTTAGGACACGGGAGCTATCTACTCTGTTTTAACATTGCATTCGGATATTAGGTCCCCCTCACCCATTTCAGTTATGGGGGTAGACGGGACCCGTTCCTCCCCCACTTAATGCCACTGCCCTGCTTTCTTGCAGGACAATTTTTCTCTCATCCTTTCTTAGTGATACCTGCTTGCCCAGCACCTTTACTGGATCAAGATATCCTTAGCCACTTCGGGGCCACATTCATTTTAGCTCCCCCCCCCCACTCTCCTGAGTCACTTCGACATCCTCACAGGTTCCTACCCCAGACTGCCCTGTTCCTACTCTCCCTTATTCAGTAGATCCCCAAGTAAGGGACACTTCCACTCCTGTGCTTGCTACTCACCACCAGCCAGTCCTACTTCACCTTAAAGACCCTTCATCCTTCCCTTCCAGACCCCAGCTTCCTATTTCTGAAACCCACCGCTGAGGTCTTAAGCCTCATCTCCTATCTCAAGGACTTTTAATTCCTATCGACTCACCTTGCAACACTCCAATTCTTCCTGTGCTTAAGCCCTCTGGCGCCTACCACCTAGTTCAAGACCTCTGCCTCATAAATGAGGCAGTAGTTCCAGTTCACCCAGTAGTTAACAACCCTTACAATCTCCTGTCTAACGTCCCTCCTACCACCTCCTACTTTACAGTTCTAGACCTAAAAGATGTCTTCGTTACTGTCCCTTTACACCGTGACTCATACTTCCTCTTTGCCTTCACCTGGGAGGACCCTGACTCTTCCAGAAAGCTTATGTGGACTGTTCTCCCTCAGGGTTTTCGGGA